CCCTAAACCCCCCAAAGCCCTAATCCCTAAACCCTAAACCCCCTAAACCCCCTAAACCCTAATCCCTAAACCCCCCAAAGCCCTAATCCCTAAACCCGAAACCCTAAACCCCCCTAAACCCTAGTCCCTAAACCCTAAAGCAGGGTTTCGGGCTGAGCCCCGCCTGCAATGAAGAAGAGGACTGGGTGCACCGGAAGCCCAGGCCAGAGGACCACCAAGGATCCATCCTTTTCAGGGTTTAGGGTTTAGGGTTTAGGGTTTAGGGTTTAAGGTTTAAGGTTTAGGGTTTAGGGTTTAGGGTTTTGGTTCCCGCCAGAAAGAAGGACCCAGGCTTTTTGGGGTGGGCTTTGGGGGTTTAGGGTTTAGGGTTTAGGGTTTAGGGTGGTTTAGGGTTTAGGGTTTAGGGTTTAGGGTTTAGGGGGGTCTAGGGTTTCGGGTTTGGGGGTGTAGGGATTCTCAAGGCGAGCATGCAGGGTAGAAAAAGACTTCTTCGTCTCGTTCATCCTTTTTGACCCTTACGCCCATACCTTCACGAGAGTCGTGCCTTCCCCCAACTCTTTACCTGCCTTGCACTAAGTAAATCTGCTGGCTTGATGTCGCTACACACAAAAACAGCCTCCGCACCATAGACTTTGTGAAGAAACCGTGAAATCCTGAACCTGTGGGACCCTTTTCTGCACATCCTTCGGGAGGAGTTTCTAGATCCAAAGCCCCACCTTTAAACACTGCTTGGACAGTCCCCCCATACAAAGATGCTCACGATCTGATGGAATATTAGTCATCACAAACCTAGTACGGTTGATAAATTAAATCCTGCATCACCCATAAAAAGAAACATACCATAATTCCCATAGTTAGGGTCCTTGAGTCCTTGAGGTAATGCAGGACTTATATCATGAACAGCAACGATGACTAGACCATGCCTTCGCGAGTCTGCCCAAGGCAACATTCAGACAGTTGCGAAGTGCTCGGAGACGCCGTCGCACGCGCTCGTTGCGCGTGAGGCCCACGATGCCGTAGCCTGGCAAGGGTTTAGGGTTACGGCCACGAGACATAGCCCAAGATCCCCTGTTTTGGCCGTTGGAATGCTGGGAAACCAACCCATGGGCCGACCCCACACCAGGCTGCTCAAGATTGCTGCACCTGAAGCGGTATTGGGCGGCGGAGGCGGCAAAGGGGCGTTCTCAAGGCGCTCGCCAGGCACGCGGACCTATGTGCAGACAGAAGGGGTGAAAGATTGCTCTGGGGCACCGACATAGGGTTGACACTTCAGCCCTCTGGGAACATCTCATAGCTCCGAAAAACCCAGCTTTCGACTCCTCATCGTTGCCTCCTCCACTCGATTCTTCTCTTCCTCCTGCCTGTCAGAAAGTCGTGCAGTGCACCCTTTCCGGCTCAGGGTCCAGTGCAGGTGTGCTTACCACCCAGGACTTTTGTGGCCTACAAGTCTTGGGAGATCCCACAGGGATTTGGAAGAGATGGCATGACCTCAGAAGAACTGGACACGACGCTCAGCTACACTACGCTGCATCGTAGAAGCACGCGCTGCAAACCAAACGGAGGACGATTCTGAGTCTGCGACGGACTCTGACAGAAAATTTGACTGTGCCCGTGCCTCACTCGCAGTTTCTCCTCGTAGTCTTCGTCGTGAGGGTCGAGGACGTCCATTTCCTGAAACCGCAGACAGGCCACAGAAACACACAAACAACTGACGTGAGACGGCTGCATCATGTTCGGGCGCGGAACTGCCCAACATACCTTCTGAGCAAACGGGTAACGGCATTGCAAAGTTTCAAGAAACTTGAAGCCCCTGATCATCTGCCGCCGTGCCTACGCACAGAAGTCTTGATCCCGAAACTCACACCCGACCGTCCACCCGGACAGCCTGGGCAAAACCAACCCTCAGCCCCCAGAACAACACCTCCCATGAAGGCCCCTGGGCGCACCTCGCGCGAGTTGAAGACTACGTTGACGTACCTCGGGTCAAAAAAGGGTGTACCATCCATCGGTTCGAAGGCCTTGAGCAGTAGAAGCATTCTCCCGAAAACGGCGTGGTACACACTCTGGGGTGCTTGCGTTAGTTGCAAACAGAACTGGTGAACGAGGGGGAAAGCATGTTGGTCATGTCTCTGAAGCTCGCCAGTGACAGGGGAGAAGTGCTGTCCCTGTGGTGGTCCGGTGGTCTGGTGGTCTGGTGGTCTGGTGGTCTGGTGGTCTGCGGTCTCCTGGTCGTGGTCTTCTGGTGGTCTCCTGGTGGCCTCCGACTGGTGTCGTGGCGGTGTCCTGGTGGTCGTGATCCTCCTGCGGACTGGCCGTCCAGATGGTCGTCGTCTTGGTCGCTGATTGATCACTATCTACATGTACCTGGATAGTTCTATTTATATATGTGTATACAAAAAATGACTAGAGAAAAAAGTTTTCATGTTGCGATTGTTGTTGATATAAAGTTGAAGTATGACAGCATATTCACATATGACTATCTGGAAAAAGGCGGACATGTCGATGGAATATAGGTAGACAGATATACGCACGCATCCGCAGCTCTTGGTTTTCCTCTCTCTCTTGAGTCCTGAGGTCTACTTCCGAGCATATGGTTGTGTGTATATACATATATCTATATATGCAGAGCTACTCCTGACGGCACAAGGGAGGGTTCACATCAAGCACGTGTAAGCATACGTTTAATGCGTGCTGGTCAGCTAGGCGACGTGGGCATGTCAGCCTCACTTCTTGCGGCACTTTCACATTGATGCTGTTCCTTTCGAACGACGACCGGACGATAGGGAATCCAAAAAGGTCTGTGCAAACAAGGTGTGTGAGGGGGGGGGGGCGGCACCCAGGGTTTGCATCTGGGACAAAAAGCAGGACTTGTTGGGAGCCACGGGACAGTTCTTCCAACGATGTCACTGCAGCTCTCCGTCAGAAAAAGCCCTACCCCAACTTCTTAGGTCCAGAAGCCCTCCTCTTCGGATTGCAAGACCTTGAACCTCTGAACACAAAAAACCAAAAATCTGGAGCGCAGGTTCTAAGAGCCTTAACCCCATACCTCAAAACCCGAAAACCTAGAACGAACCGCCAGGCGGCGCCAGTTGGAAGGTTGGAGGCTTCGGAACGAGGCCGCCAGTATCGTTGAGAAGATCGTCCATGCGCTTCTGGTCCTCTTGGAATGTCTTGCGTAGCAGCAGGAGCAGCAGCAGCAG